CAAAAGGCCACAGTGAAGGGCGGCACAACAGAGCCCAGATAATAATGCGAACAAAGAAAGAGTACACTCCCCTCACAAAATGATGGTTTGTCATGTGATATGAGTGTCATAGGGAGTCCAATAGATTTGTTCAGTAAAAAAATGCAAACAAGAGATTTATCGAACTGAAAAAGAAAATAAAAAGGAACATTAAAATTCAATAAAAAGAACAGTTTCCTTACAATGTATCCATATCCACTAAAACAAAAAACACCTGTGCAACTGTGTTACGGGAACACTGATCAGCAAACGAGAGTGCAGCCCAAAACAGTCAGAACAAGAAGGAGCAATAAGGGACTGTGCATCAATGCAGGACTGTAGCTGCTGTCTTTCTTCTTGGCCATTTTCGCTGCCCGTTCCGTTTCCTCCTTCGCCTTCCCTAGCTTCTCTTCGGCGAATTTCTCCTGTCTTTTTCTTTCTTCCTCAGCCAGTTTCTCCTGTTTTTTTCTTTTTTCCTCAGCCAGCTTATCCTGTCTCTTCCTTTCTTCCTCAGCCAGCTTCTCCTGTCTCTTCCTTTCTTCCTCAGCCAGTTTCTCCTGTCTCTTCCTTTCTTCTGCCAGTTTCTCCAATCTGATCCTTTCCTCCTCGGCCTGTTTCTCCCGGATAATCTTTTCCGCCAAAAGTCGAGCCGCCTCGTCCTCCGCCTTCTTCAGCTCCATCTTCACCGCTTCCATAGCTTCCTCCTTTTCTCTCTCTTCATTGACTCTCTTCTCGTGAGTGGCAGGATCCTGCGTCTTCTCCCTCTCATAAGCTTCCTTATATCGAGTCGCGTCACCTCCCTGGAGTATTGCTGGCGCCGGTTGAGCGATTGAACTGCTTATTACGGAGACGTTTTTTAATTCTTCCTCGCTTTCGTTTACAAGCTGCTGAAGCTCCGTAAGTTTATGGCCCTCTGCTCGCTCTGGAACCTCCTTATTAACAACTTCCGTGATCTCCTTGAGTGTCGTCTTCGCCTTTTGGAAAATTTGATCCGCCTCCCATACCTCTCTTTCAGCCGCAGTCTTATTTTCCCGCCCCCGTCTGAGAGTCAACGTCACTTCTTGCATGAGCCAAAACAAATCACCACCCGTTTGGGTGGCGTTCTTTATGAGTTCCTCTCTCTCAGTCCTCCTGTAGTCGTCCAGCAAACTCTTTAGCCCATCTCGGGTCTCATTGAGTTTCGTCACCTCATCATTTAGATCGCCGTAAGATATCCAACAAGCCGTTGTTGCGACTCTTGTCCTTCGCAACAAAGAATTTTTTTTCTGAACCACCTTCTTGCTCTCTGCAATTTTCCCCCTGGCATCCTCCACCAAAAGCTTCAAATTCTTAATCTTTTCCTCCGTAATCCTTCCTTTATCCTTTTTCTTCCCTTCATCCAGCTCAGTCTTTAAAGCATCAACGGCCTTCTTTGTTGCCTCCGCTGCTTTTTTGGCGATGTCCTTACTCTCGTCGCATGTCGCCGTCTCCTTCTTCAACACCTCTACACAACCTCTGCCCTGCAAGTATAATTTATAAGCCCGGTTCACCAATTCCTGCAACCGTCCCTCCCCAACTTCAGCATCACGGGTATGGTTGACTTCTGGTACACCGTCATTACCTCCCCTCCCTTCCTGCGCGCTGATGGCATTCACCCCACACGCACAACACTGCAGAAGTACCAACAGGTACACCACACGGCGCAGTTGGATGAACATCGTTGTCATGATTGTCACTGTGAATTGCTTGGGTCTGTGGTAACAGGGAAGAAGAGGAGAAGGAGAAACGTAGACGCACATTTAACACACAGAAGGCAGTGAGTACACAGCAACACAGAAAGAGTGAGAGAATACACAACACAACAGCAATCAAACACAACCCAATGAGGGGAACACAACAGTAAACCACTCAAACAATAAAACACACCCAGAGTTACACAGACATTGAAACAACACCTTGAATTTAGAAGAAGTGGAAAACAAATGGATTCAAAACAATATTAAATAAACATCTCCACACATACTCCAATATCTTACTCGGCATTCATACACACAAAGTGTGTCTGTATTCTCATTATAATAAAACCATTACCAGGCAGTTTGAACACCAAAATACACCAAAAACACAGTGGGCGCCTGGCAACAAACAAAAAACAACACCACAAATCATCAGCAAAACAAAGAGACTGTACAATAATCAACACACTTCCAAACGGAAAAAGAAAAGAAACCAATGCATCACCATAATATTTCTAACAACACCACAATTGGAACCCAAAACCCACTCAGCCACAACCATAAACAAAAATGACTGTATACATCACTGTAATACCATGCCACTCTTTACAAACAGAAACAACACACAATTACTCTCTCTCACACACATATTACCTTTTTATTTTTCCTTATTACTATTATTTTATTTTCCCTCAGAATGCCGGTTCGCCTCTTCTTCTCCCACAGCATTATCACCCAATAAAAAAAAAGAAAAAACATCCACCCAAACGCATATACTTCACTCCATGGTGTGTATTAGGAGGGTACGATCAAACATATTCCCTTCCACCCACCCAAAAAAGGAACCCACACATCACACCACCACGTTTTTTCTTTTCCTGCTGCTCTTCGCTTCTTTATGGATGTTACTCCAATGGAACGGGCCATCAAGAATAATATATAAATATACATAAATACAATTTGTTTTTATATTATTTTTATTTTTACTACCGTTGGGCATGGGGAAGTGCGCATTGGCAATGAAATTACAATGGATCTCGTAGGTGACAGAACATGGATTTTTTTCGTCTCTCTGAGTCCCCTCAGCGGCCAAATTCAATTTCCGCCACTAGAGGACATGGCTGTTACTATCTCTAGGGTCCCTGTCACTCCTTTTTAGCAGCATTCACACTAAGGTGAAATATGTAAAAGAAACTGCTGCTGATGGTACGCTGATACACGCCCCAGGATCTTCTTGGATAAAGGTTTCTCCCAGTACGACTCTGCTGGACCCGGTGCTGTGTAACGTTTTTAGCTTACGAACCCGTAAACTCTCAAGAAGAGAATTTACTGGCCCATGGCTTTTCCCAAAATAATAAGGGATAATGGGCATTGGCTCCAACTCTCAATGGCCAAACGTCACCAAGGGAATGCCATTTCTAAGAACGCATGTATTGAAAAGAAAAAAAAAAAGGAAGAAAAGAGAAACACGATGAAAAGACGCAAAAAGAACAAAAAACAAAAACAAAACTAGAAGGGTGTGTTTTTTGTTCTCTCTCTTTTTTTTTCTTTTTGATGCTTGGACGTCCTCTCTGCTTCTCCGACTTCAGCAAAAGTCTGGAAGAATTAAAAAAAAAAGCAAGACCCGAGCCAGACGTCTTGTAAAAAAAAAAAAGCAAATAAAAAAAAACATAATAAGGAACAGATGGGAATTCACTTCGCCCAATTTTTTCGCAAAAAAAAAAGAAAGCATGTCTTTCGTAAAGTTTTATCACTTGTGCAAAATATTCCCTTCAAAAGGGTCAGCGTAAAACGCCTGGTCTCTCCGTTTTTCCTCTCCCTTCGATTCAACACCAACACCCTCTTCTTTCAGAAAGGTCTCCGGTGGTGTTGGTGTTGTTGCCTTCTGCGCCGCTGCCTTTTCCCAACCGTCAAAGCCGCCAACGTCCTTTCCAGCGGTGTGCGTTTCCATTTGCGCCCAAACCTCAACACGCGGCTCCGTCCCTCTTTCTTCTGAGCGGCCGGCTGGTGAAAAATAGAATCCCGCTCCCTCCCCTATGGCGGCAGCCGCCGTATCAACAGAACTGAAGACC